TTTTAGATGTTATTGTCTTTGTCACGCAGTGCATTACCTAACATTACCACAGCTTTGCTGTCAAGTGCAGCATGCAGCCATGAGGCGGCGGCGCTTACTACAAATCCCACAATTCATTGCATTTAGGCGGGAGGCATCCTTAATGGGAGACTACGGCGTAAAATCATGTGTGAGTGGAATGTAGCAAGTCTCATTATGTAACTGCTGCGCCGATGAAAGAAACCGTTAATCCCTCATGGCAATCTGCTATATCATATCGGAGCATTTGGTGAATGTACTTTATATTCATTCAAAAACACTGGTTAAGGGAACGCATTTGAACACTTTGACATCTCAGCAGACTTGAATCATTTGAAACGCCGTCAACTACTTTGAAAAGCAACTCTCTCCGACTTTGATCCGAGCTGACATGACTCTGGCACATTGCATGGTGGTGAGAGATACTGCAAGGTGTGAATTTCGTTTTTCAAAGGGACGGTTCTTGTGTAGCGCGTAATTTGAAATGGCCAGTTAGCAAGCAGTCGCTCTTCATGGCATGCCAGTTCACAGTGTGCTTATGGATGTGTGTGCCCACCTGTACTTGCACATGCATAGTGATCATGTGATTTTTTTTTTTTTTTTTGTTTGTTTGTTTTTTTGGTTTTTTTTTTTTAATAGAGCTTGGAACTACACAGCAGGTGGCTTCATGAAACAGCTTGATGATGTTTGTAACATTGATTAAGATCACTGACGATTTTACACTTCTTTATGCTTCATAATTGAAATGATGCAGTCTTATTCTTCATATTACATGAAAGCTGAACGACGGATCATTCACAGTTGATAAATTGCTTACTCGGAGCTTTTGCCACACAATCAGCTGTCTGGTGGCCTATTCACCCACAGCGCGACTTTGCTGTTGCCTTGAACAATACAGTTCCTCTGTCACGCCCTTCCAGGCTCTCACATGAAATTCCTTCCTTACAAAGCAATGAGTTGACAACGGGGGGAGGGGGAGGGTCAGATTTTTCACTCTCGGGCTGTTGTAAAGACAGAAGTGGAAGTTCAACGAGTTTATAAGGTCACTTTTTGATTCATAAAATAACAGAGGCATGCTTTATAAGACGCGTCTGTGATCTGTTGATTTCTCTGCTGCGAGGACGTGCACAGGAAAGCTCGATTCATGCCGTAACCATCTCACTATTTGACACGTGCCAGCTATTTTTTTTCCTCTCTGGCTCTCATTGATAAATCGGTGACTATGATGGCTGTGGGATGTTTGTTGTTTTTTACAAATGAGCCAGTCAGTCATTGTGGGTGCAGGCACACAGGCTGGCAAGTCAGCTTCTCGGTCGACACAACCAGCGATGTCCTCTTCACCGAGAGAGCAGCTTGAAGTAATCAAAGCCTGAAATGACATCCAGAGCTGTGGATCAGGTGAATGCTGTTTTAACAAAGAGGCTCGCACGAGAAGGGTTAGCCAGGGGAGGTTTTTATTTGTATGTGACACGTTGTCATTACCAGGGCATTGTATTTTATTTGAGCACTTTAAAGGGAGGAGGGGGCGGTTTGCAGTTGAAGATGGGTCTAATTTTGTAAAAGATTTCTTACACTAGAGATTGCCCAAAGTGAATCGGCACAACACTCGGATATCCACAGGAGGAGGATGAAATCAATTTAGACTAAAGCTAGGCCTGCTTACTGCATCATTCATGGTTGACTGTTGGAAATAGCTGCCAGTCTGTATAATCAATAACATTTCCTGGCACACATGTAGGTGGGTTGGGTTGTTTGCCTTTGATCCACAACAGCCCAATAGATGGCTGGTAGTGTGCTTTTAGATACCATGTAAAGCACTATTTGCAGTTAAAATGGCACACCTTGATCGCAAACAACAGCCATGGTGATGGCTAGTGATTGTTTGCTTTTAGTGTGCTTTAGACTGAATAATACCGGCCATGACAATAAAGGAACAAAAGAGGCTGGCTCCTGGTACTGAAGCTGGTGTGTGTGTGTGTGTGTGTGTGTGTGTGTGTGTGTGTGTGTGTGTG